TTCACGGGAAACTACATTATGATATTCAAAGTATTGGCTATAACAAGCGATTTAGCAATCAAATTCAACTTGTTTGCATCATTCACATTATTTTTCTTTGATAAGTACATATTTCTTCTACTTTTAATTCTGGATGCATATGACAAATCGATATTCATTCTTCACTAAAAGATCCAAAATGCTATTGAAACTCATGGGCAGTAAGCAGCAAGTCTTTGGTAAATCCACAAACATTCATATGATACTTTACTGATAAAATAAGTAGGATGTCCTTTGCAAATTTAATTTTCTGCTTTTGAATTTGTATAATTGTCCACATGAGAGTCAATATGTACTTTATACGTTGATTGAAGGACCATGTTGCAGGGGCACACTACTTTTCATTCAATAGGGATAGCCAAGAGAGGTTATAGAAAATAGAAAGCGTCAATCCACTATAACCTTTCCTGCATCATATAATATGATGTAACACTCTCCTTAAGAAAGAGATCATTATTAAGGGGCTAGGCCAAAAAAAAGGTGGTTCGATTTGCGGTAGATGGAGCAGTGTTAAAAAAGATTGCAGGCAAAGGAGCAAGAGCAAAAAGAATAAGTCTATAATTGGAAAAAGGTAGAAATCATAAATGAAATAACAACTGGCACAAAAATTTCCATTAAAAAGTATTTGACAAGTAAATTATATTTTTCATGTTCAAGCAGGAAAGAGAATCAGAAGTAAAAGAAAACCTTGCTCAACTCTAAGCTCCAAAGGACCAGGTGCTTTTGCTGCTTGACTTTTACCAGCACTGCCAGCTTTCTCTCCTTTCCCGCCTTTGCCAGAAACACCTAGGCAATGCCAATATGCATATCAGGAAGAGAACAATTCCAGCATGTTCCCATCAATAAGGCCCACCACAAAAAAGGCATGACCAAAAATCACAATCATGGCAGCATAATATGGACAAGAAAGGAGGACCATCATTCACACTTCTATCACTGCATCCACGGAGAGCATATGAAAATCTAACCTTTGGAAGATGGTTGATCAGCTTTTCCATTTGATTTTGTGAAATTGGTATCCAGTGATCCTATTCAACGATAGACCTTGAGCAGCATCAGTAATATTCAAGTAGCAGATTTCCAGAAAACAATAATATGATTGAATAACAGGCATATTAAAAACAATAATCTTTTTTTCCTTTTTGCCGTTAAACAGGTGAAGTGAAATCCACAAAACACCAGGAACCAACCTAACCTTCAGAATCAAACTGGACTTTCCTTCCTCTTTTTGATTTCGCTGAGCTATCATCCTTCCCTTTGGAAGCTACAGAAAAGAAGTCAAAGACGTGTGTGCTTCAAAACCAAAGAGGCCAAAGATGCATTGAGAGATTAAAAATGCAAGAATTTTCAAAGTCAATGTACCAAGTTAAATATAAATGAAACACAGATCTTTCAACTGCACTTCAACTGTTTCACAAAGGAATTAGAATGATAAGTGTAACTAATGGTCTTCTTTCTTTTGCTAACAAATTTTAGCGAGGACATCTTCTCATACATATCTTGTACTAAATCTCTATTTAAGTTCTCTATCCATCAACTGAAAATTGCACTAATCAGCCAGTGAAACACAAACATTTGAGAGCTATCTGGTGGGTCCTAGAGCATATGATTCTCTAATTGATTTTCCATATATCCAGTGCTGCTGCTATCATGTGGATCCTAGAGCTTAATTCTCCATTATCATGTGAGAGATTCCTTTGCCTCCAAAATTAAGCATCTCATTGGCTATCACAAGTCACATTAGTTATACTGTTTTAAAGACCTGTATAACTGTTATGGTCAAATAAGCCAAGACTTAGAACTCAACAATCACCGTTAGGGGTCTATGTTACACCGTCACCAGGCGAAGCTAGGATTTGAAGATTGTGTGTTCTGAACTTGCCTCTGAACCCATAGCTCATCTTTGTTGATTGGTTCGCATAATTTAGTATATATTTAATAAATTTCTTCATACAAATAAATGATCTAAGCAAAAGCTACCGGGTAATTGTTACATCGGAAGGCATGTTTAATCACCAGAACCGTCGAATACAGTCGTTTATACAAGGGATTCAAAAAAAAATTGTAGAAACCTATGACTTAAAGCAATTTTTTAACCAAATTTTCCAATTTACTAGAATTTTTCCTTATGTCAAGGGGTTTCCATGTCTTTTTTTCTCTATTTGCATAGTGTAATTTTTCAAGGACTTTCTACGACCTCAATCTTCCCCTAGATTTTCAGAACGACAACTTCAAGTTCAAACTGAGGGGGGAAAAAACTTCAAGTGCTAATAACTGTAGTCTGTATTCTAAATTTATCATTTGTACATATTTAATAAAGTTTTTAACACAAATACATTGTGAGCAAAAACTATTGGGTTCGCGCCGAACCCGTTGCCGTGCTTCTAGCTCTGCCCTAATAATCACTAGAACCAGGAACAATTCACAGCAAAAAGAAAAAGAAGAAAAATGCGAATTGTTTTACCAGGAGATTTGAGGGCAGACTTTCCATTTTTTGGTAGAGAAAACCCTTTTCCTCCTTTTTCCGTCATTCTTAATGTTCACTGTCACAAAACCATAATAAACACTTAAAACCAAACAACAAATTATACCTTGGATTATCAAATGACATGCAAAGTATATACTACATAAAATGTGAATTTATCGTTAAACTAAATGTGTAAAAGAAAAAAAACCAATAAAAACCAATTTATTCAGCCCTATAACGAAATTATATGGAACAAAAATAAAATTAAATTTACCAGGGAAAGAACAGAAGGTAGTGGAATTTGGCCGGAGAGAGTGAAACTTTTAAAGGGGGAGTGTGAAGGCACGAAAGAGTGGAGCAGCGTGTAGTACAATGAGCATAATTGTACCCAAATTTGTAAGCTTTTTATCAATTAATCATGGTTAAGTTTTTGTATTTTCCCTACATCTTGGTTTAGTTAACGAAAAGTACAGAAATGACAAAATGGTTCCTTACCTTTATAAAATGATCCCTTAAATATACTCTTGAGTAATTTTGAACCTGTAAGTTTGACAAAAATGAGCACTTTTGGTTCCGTCAAATATTTAACAGATTCTAGCGGTTAGATCACACTAAAATTGTAAAAAAAAGAGCTTTAACGCCAATATAATGTTTTATTAATGTATACCTATGAGTTTTAGCTGTTTCTCTTAGTTGGTTCGCTACCTTATTCTCTATTAGGGCTGGGCATATATCGGGTAAAACCGATAACCCGAACCGTTAATTGTTTATTGGGTTATCAGTATCGAGTTATTGGGTTAACGGTTCGGTAACGGTTTAGAATTTTTTTACTATTGGGTTATCGGTTCGGGCATCAGTTTGCCAATTTTGTTAATGGGTTAACCGATAACCCAATAAGAATTAATAAAATTATGACTTTACCCTTAAGTATATACAAATGCTAGGGGCTTCAGTTCATTCTCTCGTATTCTTTCTCAACCCCACTCTTCAATTGCTTCATCTTCATTCTTTATAGACCTTACTAGTTACTCCTAGCGCAAGTCTTTAGTATACTATATGTGAATTATTCTCTTTTGTCTTTTTTTTTTTTTTTTGCTTAACTCTAGATTGAGTTATGTATCGGGTAAACCGATAACCGAACCGATAATGATCGATAATCGATTAACCGATACCCGATAACCGTTCTGTTATCGGTTTATCAAATTTGTAAACCGATAACCGATATTCTAAACCGATAATATTCATAACCGAACCGAACCGACCGATGCCCACCCCTATTCTCTATTTTATTCCTTTTTCTAGTGTATATTGATGTTATGTGGCATTCAGAATAGAAAAAGCTTTGGTTCCTTTTTTGGTTTGGATTTGTTTTTGAAAACAAATTGTTGTTGGATTTAATTTTGCAAGAATTGCTTTTGTGTATTCAAAGAATGTTTTCAGCAAACCACTCTCTCATGCCAAAATTTCACGGTATAGCCAGTTTTCGGACTGGTCAATCAAAAATAGTCAGCGTTTACCAAGTCAATGAAAAATAGCCACCGTTTTGCTGCAATAGAGACCGGTCCAGCATAATATACTGGAGTTTCGGTGCACCTGTGTATAAACTCCAGCATATTACGCTGGACCGGTATACTTTGCTGGCTCCAGTATAATATACTGGAGACTGGAGCACTGGTGCTCCAAACTCCAGTATATTATACTGCACCATTATACTTGCTGGAACTCCAGTATATTATGCTGGAGTTCCAGTGTATTTATGCTAGAACTCCATCATATTATGCTGGAGTTCCAGCATACTATCCTGGAACTCCAGTATAATATGCTGGAGTTCAAGTATACTTATGCTGGAACTCCAGCATAATATACTAGAGTATTTTTCGGGTTTTGAATAATGTTTTCGTTCAGATTTATTTTTACATAAAAAGTGGCTAAATTTCGATTACTTTTAAAATTGGGTTATTTTTGAACGACCAGTTGTAAATCTGGCTATTTTTAAAAATCACACCTCTCTCATTTGAGCGACAGGCCCAAAATCAAGTTTTAATAGTTCCTAACAAATTTTGAACTGATCATACAACAAAAAGGGGAGAAATTAAAAAATAGCCAAATTTACGAGTGGTCATTCAAAAATAACCACGGTTTTAGTAATCGAAATTTAAATACTTTTCATATAAAGATAAATTTGAACGAAAACACTGTTCAAAATCCGGAAAAATACTCCAGTATAATATATCGGTCCAGCATAATATACTAGAACTTTCCGCGTGTTAGAGTTCCGGCATAATATGCTGGAAATTCATACACAGGTGCACTGATCTCCAGTATATTATGCTGGAACTTTCTGTGTTGCAGCAAAATAGTGGTTATTTTTCAATGACTTTGCAAACGCTGGCTATTTTGAATGATCAGTCCGAAAATTGGCTAGCCCGTGCTATTTTTACAACAAAAAGCACCACATGGACTTTGTGGCCTACTGTTTTGCACAAAGTGAAAATGGGAAAAGATAACATACAATTTTTTCCATTGATCTCAAGTCACAGATTCAGTGCCTTAACAGGTTAAGACTGTTCAAAATTGAATCCCTGGGAAGAATAAGAATAACATAAAGACTATAACATATCCAAGCTACTAGACACTTCATGCAGCAATGCATTTGCTATCCAAACAAATCATCAGTATAGTCGTCTACATTGCTTGAGATATTTCCCGAGATTCTGCCTAACGAACCAGGGGAGTCTCCTTTAGCGTCGTTAGTAGAAGCCGTCTGACTGGAATCAGAATATGCCCAAGACCCCACTTTAGCAGGAGCTGATTCTCCATAAAGATCGTCGTAAATTCCACCCTTTGGCGGATTTTTCACCTTGTTCAATACCTGTTTAAGTTTGTCTGTTACACCTGTTTGGGTAACGGTAGCATCCTTTACGGAGGACTGTTCTTTCCCTTTCGGTATCACTGTAGTTTCTATGAGGGACTCATATTTTCCGACAAGACTTCCTTCCTTCACACCCAATGGACCAGGTTCTGTCTCCACATCTGCTCCATCCGAAATACCAACAACTTCAACTAGCTCTCCTCCAACCTGATCTTTAAATGACACACTTGTTCTCCTAATTCTTTTCGCGCGCCTCTCAGATGAGTGGTTGACATCCTCCCCACTAGTTGATACTGTTGATTTTGACAATGAATCAGGCCTCATAAGCCCATAGCGGTTTAAAAAGGTGTTATAAGCCAAAACAGCTTCCTCGTCTGAAGGATCTGGAGGTGGCGGCAAATCTATTTCTGCAGGTTGTCGGGGAGGAGGGAAGAGAGCATCATTGTTCTTTCTCAAGATGTAAGTCCTTGTTGATGCAGCAAACTTCAAAGATTGTCCGGCCTCAAGTTCGACAGGGGAATCTTTTGTTAGCCTCTCATTTGCAACAAATGTTCCGTGTGCAGATCCTAAATCTATCACGTAAATGCTGCAGAGAAAAATATAACTAGTTCAACCGGCATGAGCTAAGAAGAGCAGCTTTACATCTAAGGATAGGCATCATGGTTCCCAAAAAGGGGCACATTCTTTGTCTAAAGACGTGCAGTCAATGTAATAAAGGATATAAGCAGGTCAAACTGCCTGAGGTAAGAAGAGCCCCTTCTACATCTAAGGAAAGGCATTCTTGTGCTTACGAAAGAGCATTTTTCCATGTCTAAAGATGTGCAGGAGATGAAATGAATACCACAAATCATTGTAGTGATAACAATTCTCACCAAAGACAAGTTACTTTAACAGTATGCAATTAAACTATCATCTTTTTTGATTGGTAATTGAGAACGTTTTGCTTAAAAACACACTTGCAGTCAAACTATCACCTTCATTACTGAAATCTAAATGTGTTCAGATGGTCTAATTCATGAGGATTGAATTATCTTGATAGATGATATTTACAGATAAATGACATTCTTGATGCCCCATATTTTACAATTAATACGAATTTACAACAAATTTTGAAATAATCTTGACCGTCTCTAATAAATCCATGGTTTCTCTTTTCTTCTATTTTTATGGGATAAAATTTGTAAACCATCAAAACTATGCAACTTTCTGCAACTAATAGCCTTTATTTGAAGAAGAGCTTAATCTTTTTAAGTACCAATAAACAAAATATCACCTAGATGTAAGAAAGTTAGAAACATCCATTTCCTACAACTCAAGAAAGTTATAATTGCTTCAGTAAGAATGTTTAGCAAGAACAAATTTAAATGTTGAAGTCCACATAAAGATATGACCACACATACACTAGTGATTTATTGGTAAGGGAACCATGGCCCGTATGCCTAAGCTTGCTCAAATCTTTTACTTACTTACATTGACCCAAGGAAGAAATGCATAAACATGAGCTTACCTTTTCTCAACACACACCCAATAAAAAAGAGAAATGCATAAATATGAATTGCACAACATTTTCCAAGTACTTCATCATCATAGAGTTAGATTCTTCTTATGTGGTATTTTAATTTAACAATTACTTTCTCCTCCTCTTAGCCACAAAACAAGAAAAGCATATATTCAAAACTAGATAAGAAAAAGCATGATTATGTGTCACACCTTCCATTTTTGTGAGGAATCACAGCAGCATGCTGGCGTGAAACTGATTGATGATCAAGGACAAAATCACAAGTATGAAACTGCCGTCCAAAGATATGCCGTCGCTTATCCAAATTAATTCGATCAAGTACCTCACCATCTTTGATCACCTCAAGATAATAAACGCCTGGACGTGGCTCAATAGCCCAATCAGGAGGCTGCCAAGTTGATTGCCCCCCTCCGTGAGTAACATGATGAGTTGGCACTGCAGAAGCGGTTGCATCTGCCGCCACGGATTTCTGCAAAGCAGGTTGTGGATTTACGTATTGACTTTGTTGATGAGATGTTGTGGACTGTGCATATGCTGGAAAAGGATGGGTAACTGCCTTTGTAGTAGGCTGCAATGCTGGTTTAGCAGCTGAGTTCGCAGACACCTGAAATGGCTCCAAGGACTGAGCTTTCTTAAATCGATCAAGCCCTGATCTACCATACATTCTGTCTCTACCTTCAGTTCAAACAACAAGCTCTTCCTCAGTCAAATAAGATCTCAAGCATGGACCATTCTCAGCACTACATTAGCTCAGAATTCTATGAACTCGGTTTCATCTAACACTGCACCCAAAACAAGGGTTCAAGTTTTCAAACCAACATAAAACAAAAAGAAAAGAGAAGAATACCCACGACACTCTTTAGAATCCATCCACAAAAATATGTATGAACTTTTCTATACAACCCATTGTAGAAGTTCATAAAATATACAGGAAAATAAGAAGAGAAATACAGTTGTTTTACTTAAAAAAGTTATTCAATAAGTGGACGACCTCTAATTCTTTTTTGTTTTGGGGAGAAAATTCTATTATGGTTTTATTCTGTCACCTGTATCTTTCTTCTGATAAGCGCTCCCTATACCTACCTTGGTTTATTATATGTTAAAACTGATGTCACAAGATTCTTTTCCTCTCATATTACTAGAAAGGGAGTTATTACGGTTTCCACAAAAGAATCGGATTCAAGATTTAAACTTTATGGGTTCAGCTTTAACATTCCTAGACTGAACGAACATACTTCTGAAATTATGAATTCAAAATTTAATATACGTTGAAATTTAGCGGGTTTTCACATACATATCTATGTTATGTGTAATACTGGATTAAGTTGAACCCAGTATACAAAGGCTGCATTTGCCTCTATTCCACAACCCTATGTGCAATAACATAAAAAATAATAATTAAATGAGTGGTATCTAGGCCAAGTTGAGGTGCCTGTTCCACCGGGTATTCACTACTTCTCACTAGCACAGGTACCGAGTAACCTATGCACTAAGAATTAGGCAGATGGAAAGATATCACCTAGTGTTTTTTGCTTCCGCTGGGAATTTTATTTAAGACCTCATAGTTCTCCCTCCACTTCATTGACCACTACAACATACCCTTGAGCGCGCAATAAAGTAACATAAAACTTTATGTGGAATAAAAAAAAATGTATTTTCCAGCAATTTTGCTAAACACATCTAATAATTCTGCTAAACACATTTAAAAACTTAGTTGTTATAAGATAAAAATGTACCTCAACCCTATAGACCAACCACCGGCAGCAATCGTTAAAGCTCAAACTATGTGCAGAAAAGGGGGGGGGGGGGGGGGTAGAATCCTACAGTACTGTCCTGTACCAATTTTAAGCATCAATAAAACCAGAATCAAAATATTAGCTAACTATTAGGGCATGGGGATCCATGAATTAACAAAAGGGTGTGATATGAATGTAACTAACAAGGGGTTAGATTTGCAACCGATTAAAAGCAGATAAGTAGTATTAGAAAATGAGATTAGAAGAAAGACGAAGATTAACTAACCTCTTGACAAAAAGAGAATGTTAAGTGTATGAAATTTAGGGTTAATTTATTATAGTTGAAGTTGAAGCTATGGTAGCAGATCGATGGGCGAAGCAAATATGCTGTGTGTTTTTTCTTTGTCTGGGGATTTTGGAAGAAAATTATGGAGGCGAGAGATAAAGGAGCAGGGGGGAGTTAATACTACCCACCCCCGGTCTTTTCCTCTCTTTTTT